GATGGACAAGTTGCTTGTTGTGCAGATACTATTGTTTTAAAAAGCTGCAAAGAAAATAATATGGCAGTTATGACACATGTTCTCTGCTTTGATTTGTCTGATGTTTTTAAGGGACTTTTTGTTGGCTGTCCTTGTGGTATTTTCCCTGAACGTGAGAAGACGTTATGAGAGACTGACGTTCAGTACAACAGCATTAGTTTTCAGCTCATTCACACAACCATGGTGAGCTCCTGGTGGTGTGTGACCATCCTTTTGCCCCATGAACATAAGCTAGTTGGATAGCAAAGCTGAATTCCTAACTGAGATTCCTACACACGATGGTAACACAAAAAGATAGCGCAAAGCTGGTGCTCAAACAGGGTGTTTTACATGTGCCCAAATAAATTCTGGAGCCCACGACAAATATGTATAAGACTCCCTATGTCAGGAATATTTAACTGAAGCAGCAGTTACACAGGAGAGTCAGGACAGAAATACTTTTCAACCTTGTTGCTGGGAAGCACTGTTTAGCGGCACTTGGTGCTCGAACAGGGAAGGAGAAGCAGCATGTTAGGAATGCAGTACGGCCAGTCAATTCAGGTATTGCATACACCTTGTGGGCCATAGCTCTTCATGAGACGCGGAGGACCAGTTTGGATCCGTTCTTCTGTGACTGCAGACTGTTTGCATGAGTCATTTGGATTCTTGATAGGCTGCAATAATAGAGACTCTGGGTCTCTCGAGCTTACACTTGCTCCCCCATTAGTCACAGGACAAGACTTTAGCTCTGACTTTTTAGCGAGAAGGAATGATTATTGTGGCTGCTGTATAAGGACATTCAGCGTCACAACTCCAGCAGGTCAAACATCGCCCACTTTTGCAAGATATGATATGGCCAAGATTCAGATCCCAGGTATAAGACCTCATGACTGCTCTGTCATAGAGTGGTGTAATCTTAACCCCATGATTTGTTTCAAGAGCATCTGCAAATTCCTTATCCTTGCTGCAAGAAGTGGAAAGGAAGAAGAGAAAAATCGTAGAACTCCTCCTCCTTTCTTTCTTGTAATGATGATAGAGTAGAAACATTCTTTATTTCAGAGCTATGTTAGTAGTAAAGGTTGTGTAATAATTATTCCTTATTACTGAAATCTGTCCTTTTTCCCCATCTGCACAGATGGCCCAACAGCTTTTTCTCAGAAAGACCTCCTTTTCCCATAGAGCGATTTCTTTTGCATGGGATCTAGGAGGAGAACAAGAAGATAACATCTTTGAATGGCAAGAACACAGTCTATGGATTTCTGGGAAAATTCTAACACGTTTGACTTCTTGAATCACAAATCCTTAATAGCATCGTTAGTCATTTCATCTCCTGGTAGAACATATGCCCAGCATGATAAATTGGAAGCTCTGATCTTCTGAAGAGCAGTCGCTTCTGATCACAGATTTTGGAGGCAGGGTCTATGAGAGCTGGGGGGTTGAGGGGGAAGTGAGAGAATTGTTTCAAGTCTGAAATAAGTCAGTCCCCACCTCTTCGCTTCAGATGAGTGATTGTTTTCCATTTTAGCTAAAACATGACAATTCTTTTAAGCACGCAGCAACTCCAGAAAGCAGCAGCATCCAGCTGAAACAGAAGGAGGAATAAATGCCCATACAATGAGAAGACAGTCATTTTAAGTCAGAATTTCATAAAGATGTACAGACTAAGATTCCAAGCTTTACTGTAGGTCCCATGAAAAAATAGTGGTCAAGTTGTCTGGACTTTTATTTCAGCAGCAAGATGAAGGTTATTCTCTAGAAATGTAGCCATATGTTTGTACACTGACTCAACCAATTAGGATAACTGTGCAGAAGTATTGCTTATAAGAAGTAGCATTTTAAATTTTAATCATTATTACTAGAGGAAAAATTGCTATAACTACAGGGAGTCTGTCCTGCATGCTTTTAGCCCCTGGAAGTTCTGGCTTCACATAAAATGAATGTAAGCTTGATAGTATCTTGGAAGTAAAGGCGAGTTTGAAAGCGCTCTTGAGTATTATGATGGCTGCACGGAAATACGTGCAACGAGGTTAGTCTCGATATTGGTGCTGTCTTAGCTGATTATTTCCCCAATTTTTCTTTAAAGAGAGACTTGTAATTGTTTCAGTTTACTTCCTTTCCAAACAAAAATTAATGAGTCTTCTTAACATCTGTGTATCTAAGTCTACTGTATAGGCCATAATGTCTGTAACAGAGTTGTCTACAAGATTAAAGCCCCCGCATATTATCCTATGTTGATAGTGCTTCTTCAGAAGATGCTCAGTAGTGGAATAGATACTCTTTTACAGCCCAAGACTAAAGTTCACAGTGCTGACCACAAGCACCTCAAACTTCCAAAAGATCTAAACCCATCTACATCAGGCAAAAATAAATCTGATAGAGAGTGAAGGCAAACAGAGTTGAGAACAGCTCATTAAATCATCAAGAGTGCTGTATATTCATACTGGAAAGCCAATATAATTTATCAGTTCTGCACATGCCATGTGGTTCTACCGTATCCAAAACCTAAGAGAGGAAGTCCACTCCAGCGTAGAGAGCCTATGCAAAGGACCATACACCAATTTCAGCTGCCCTTGAAAGGATCAAGGGGCATACATAATCTGAGGATTTTCCTGACAAAAAGTTTCCCACACTTATTCTACCTCAGTACACAAGAGGGAGCTAGATAAAGAGGCTGTAGCAAATATCGGTTCCTTGCATCATTTGAACACTCTCTGCCCACACTTGCAAAAGGGATAGAAAGTTCAAATGGGAAAGCATAGCCACATAATCCATCACCAAATGTGTTCTCTTGCTTCCCCATGTGAGCTCTTTATGCATCTGCTGCAGGCACTTAACCTGCTGCACGGTCAGCCTTTCTAGAGCTTTGCATGTTTTCCCCTTGTATGCATCTGTTTGACATTTGGCTCAGTTATTTATATAGGTTCTGGATTTGGCCCTGAAGCTTTTAGCAGAATTTATATACGCTGTTAATGATACTGTCCCCAGTTTAGAAAACAAAGAAAAATGGACAATTCTGCAGAGAGTCATGGGCAGGATGATATACCAAAATGGATTGTGCTGGAATAAAATGAAAGCTATGGCATCAGGAAGGCCAGAGAGGGAATGCAGCTTACCTCCAAATTCCCAGCTCCTGAATCAATATGGAAAACAGTAACAAATGGTGCCATGCATAATAATACAGAGCTTGACCAACATTTAAAACGAGTCAACAGATAATACTTCAAAAGTACAAAAGTGAAAGAAAAAAACCTTGCACCTTAGAAAAAGTTAAACCCTCTGCAAAAAGACTGGCCTGCTTACAACAAGTTTCTGTATAAAAGAAGCATACCTGTGGGCACCTAAGGCTGCATATGAATACCTGCATTCAGATTAAGACACTGGTACAAAACTGATCCATGACTCATGTCTGTAATCCCAAGCAACATGCAGAGTCACGAGCAAACATGCAAGGGGCTTCCACATCTGCCCCCTTTCCAATACTGCTGAGAAATCAGGTACTGCAGGTTTCCTACCCTGCAGTTTCACATCTCATAGGAGACAAGTACTTTCACCAGACTAACTACCCTACTAGGCCTAAAGGTGAAGGGCAGGTTAAAATTAAGTTTGGAGCCAAGAACTGAAGCCAACAGAAGGAGTCAAGACACCAGGGCCACAAAGAGTCATATCAAACTGAAAAGCATAATCAGAAAGGCATAGAGCCAAAAGTTTGGAAACCAAAGAGTCCCTGTTATAAGGTGAGTCAGGGCTGGAACGAGGTGAGGTACAAGAACCTAACACAAAGGAGACAGGAACCAGAGATCAAGACTAAACAAACAAGAACGAAAAGCAAGAGAGAGAAGCAAAGCTACAGCCAAATGGTAAAGCAGACTGCCAAGCGCAACTAGTGGTGTTGCCTGACACATCTGCTGTTAGAGGAAATTAGCCAAGCCTTAGCTCCTGCACAGCTGGGCCATGACCCCAGTTGCCAAGGAGCCCTATTGCATCCAGCTGCAGGGCCAGCAGCCCAGGCAAAGGCTAACAGTGTGGACAACTTTGTATCAGCTTAAAAGTGGACCTGCAGGAGTAGCTTGTCCCTATAAATTTACTGGTGCAAGCCACAGGTTTAATTCAGTCTGTGTATCCAGTAGAGCACTGCACTGGTTTGCCTAAAGGTGTTTAAAACGACAGCTGTAATTAAACACTCAAAGTCTGTGCAGTCGAAAGGCCTTAGTGCAGAAGGAATAGAGGTATTTAAGGCAGGCAGCAGTGCCAAGGGTTCCCAAAAGTGGAAGTCCCCTCATCTCCCCCTACCGGTCTGCACATCTGCAAGCCTTTCCACCACAGTGACTAGGAACACCTGCCTACTCTGCTTTGCCTATGCCTGTACTTTGTGAAACAGCACAGCAGGCCCCCTGGGAGCTGCCTCCAACATCGACCCGTTCTCAAGATGCTGGCAATTGCTTAAAACCACAGTCCTGCTATCAAGAATTAGTCATTTGCTCCCAGAGAGTTCATCCTGCAGGCTTTGGTTCTTAATTAGACATTGCTCTTAATGGAAGACTACAGAATACAGGATTTCACAATGGGCTTTACGATGTTATCCCAGTGACTATTAAAATCTTTCAGCAAATACAAATCAAGAAAGCAATAGAAGAAAAAT